AGGCGTCAGCGTGGTATTTTGCGGCCTACACCCAACCCCCTTACTCATATGAAGATGATGGGACAATCTTGCCGCTTATCAGCTTTGCCTGGCTTGCATACAAGCCGCTGTGCCGAATCAAACTTCGCAACATGAAATTCTAAGCCATTCAAATGCTTTTGCATCAATCATGTACCCTTTATTTTTGCTATATGTATTGTCCTTCGCACCGAAACGTAAACCATATGTCTTAGCATCAATCATTGCTTGAGTTATAATAAAACATCCGTTGATCACTAGACTTTTCTTGAACACAAGGCGACAGCATTGGACAAACCTATATAATTTAAAATTATTTTTCGACGACTGTACAGAGACATAGATTAGAAATAAGTGTACACATGATCGAGCATTATCTTCTCACTTCGGTCACCTTCATGAATGATGAAAGTCGATTGCGAAATATAACAGCCAAAAATGTGCGTGATGAGGTTCCTAAACTTTCTCTCTATAAAATATTATTTTCATACCTTCTAGTCTCGGATCTCGCCTCCGGGTAGATAACGAACGTATGTCTAAACTTCCGAAAGACTTTTTAAACTTCTTTTCGACAAGTTAAACTTATGACAATATTTGTCGCATTCAGTATAATCATTATAGGTTAATAAATTACTGACGAAAACAACGGTTCTATAGTGTAGCTGGTTAGCACGTCGGATTCTGATTCCGGAGACTCGAGTTCGAATCTCGATAGGACCTGCCTGATTTTTTTGTTGTTTTGCCGGAGAAAGAGTTATCTCTTCGTGCCATCTTTCAGACCGTTAAAGTAGTTTTCTTTCTTCGTTTTTATGTTTATCAAGACGTTTAGTTGGCTGGCACTTCTCCAGGACGTCTCCCCTTCATAAACCTCGAGCTCAGCGCGAGTATAGCTAGCTTCGGACTCGAGTTTCCGAATCAGAATCTGATGGGGACCGCAACCTACTATCGCTTTCTGTAATGAGATCCCTTCTGGATACTGCGTTTCATAGTCCATCGTATAATGCTGCTTACTCCAAAAGCTTGTCTGCTCCTAACAAATTCAGTAATTATGTTGACTATGCCAACCGGACTCCTATCCAACCGCCTTACTCATTTTAGGACTTTAGACGCTGCTTATAGCGGGTTATCTTCCGCCTTTCAATGGCGCGGTTACTGTCTCTGAAGATAATGTCGTGCTGGAGAATATTCCAGAAACGGACTTCAATCACGGTCGACTTTTTGGTACAGGGGGACAGCACATATTCAATACACGGGCATATCCGCGTATTGAATGCTACTCTCCTCTTTACCGACATAGCCTTCTTAACCCACTTCAATTTAGGGGGGGTATCATCGTCATCATACCCCTTGAAACAATCAATCATCAAAAAAGGGTGGAGACGTGACAATTTCTGGCAACTTGATCGTTCACCGCAATCAGAATTGATATCTCACGTCAAACTGCAACCCCTCTCCCCTTCTTCTTCAACAACTTAACGAATCCAAGAGACGACTCCTCAATTGTGAAGCAAGCAAAAACTCGAATCTCAAGCTGACCCCACTTCGTCTCCCTTACTTTTAAATCGATCAACCAAGCCAAGACAATGGGAGCTGGAATTAGCAAAGAATATGCAAGTCTCCCTGTTGCCTACGCCAGAAGCAGGCGACGAACGAACCGTGACGGCAGCAACAATGCAGACTCAGACGGAAACAGTCGACAGCGGCAGAACAGTCTTCATCAAGAGGAAGAAGAACCATCTCAGCCACATAACAATCAAGCACTTCAAAATCCAAACGACGATGACATCAATCCATCCCCACCTGGATCGCCTGGTCCGCATCAAACTTCTCCAGCTACCGGGTCTTTGAATGAAGACGCCGATATGATGCTTCAAAACAGGCGCCCTTCATGGGCAGAACGGCTGAACGCTGGCGGTGCACCTGCGAGTAATCACGAATCTCGTCTTTCAACAACACCTACATGGAGAAGAACGACTCCCAACAGTGCCGTCCACCCTGAGCCACCTGTACCGCTGATACAAACATCTACCAACAGAAACAGACCTAATAACTCACCCACCTCTCAGTACATGATGTGGTCTTGCACGGAAGACAACTTTCCAGACATTTTGGAACGAGCATCGCATTTCGCTGAGGATCCAGCTGGGCTTGAAGATTACTTGGAGGTTTTGAAATTGGATAGAGCCAAGATTTCAGACTCTCAGCTCAAGAAGCAGAAGAGGCTGAAAAGAATCAAGATGGAGCAGTTACGGAGTTTTCAGACTGTTGGGTTTTGTTCGGAGCGATTGGTGTACATATCACCGAATATCGGTATATTGCACATGGCGACATCTCTTCAAATGTGAGCTTTGATTGATTACCCGGCCTCTTATTGTGTATTATCAAAGTGAGGCTAACGGATTTGAATTTATTTCTACAGATGCTGTAACAATCTCACATACATCCCACCGGAAATTGGTTACCTCCGAAACCTCACAGTCTTGTCAGTGGCAAAGAATAAGATCACCTCGTTACCAGAAACAATAGGATATCTCACCAAGCTTACCGATTTCCGAGCCTCTCACAACCTTCTCACAGCTGTGCCGGACTCTTTGGGCAACTGCGTCAACCTCAAAACGTTATCACTGAACAACAACAACATTGCAAAACTCCCCGTAACACTTGGATCTCTCAACTCCCTGATATCGTTTGACGTATCAAACAACCCACTCACAACAATACCAATTGAAATTGGCCGCTTGCGG